TGCGGTACGCAGGCCTCTCACTGTTGTGGCCTTTCCCGTTGTGGAGCACAGGCTCCGGACACGCAGGCTCAGCGGCCATGGCTCCCGGGCCCAGCCGCTCTGCGGCATGTGGGATCTTCCCAGACCGGGGCACGAACCCGTGTCCCCTGCATCGGCAGGCGGACTCTCAACCACTGTGCCACCAGGGAAGCCCTCAGTTCTTTCTTTTTGATGTAAGCTTTCTCTAACAGAACTCAGTTTTGCTGTGTTTCTTTTTTCTGCTTTCTCATTTATTATGGTCCCCTCTTCAGCAACGGGAGAGCCTGTGCATTACAAATTCATTTAATCACGACAGATTTGTATTGAGTACTTCCTGTGTGCCTGGCACCATGCATAGAGCACTGAACAAAAAATCCCAGCCCTCATGGAGCCTCCATTCTAGGGAGGGAGACAGATAGTAAACAAAATACATAAGGAAAATATATGATTTGTCACATGGTGTTAAGTGCCAGGAAGAAAAATCAAGCAGAGGAAGGGAAGCGGGGTAGGGGAAGAGGTAGCCTGGGGGACATCTGTGCTGTGAATGAAGAGGTCAGACACAGGCTCACAGAGCGGGTGACCTCTGAGCCAAGACCCAAAGACAGTGAGGGGGCTGGCTCTGCAGATACTTGGGAGAAAGCTACCCCAGGGAATAGATAACTTAAAGGGCCCACTGCAGGAGAGGTGTGGCTTCACTGGAGTGAATAGGGAGAGACAGGTCAGAGAAGTGAAGGGAGGGGGAAGGGCCTCGTAGTTCTCGGGCATGCTCTTGGTGTTGACTGCCAAGGAGAAGTGCAGGCAAGGAGAAACGGTCCAGAGGAGTATATGTGATGATCACTTGCTATAAAATATTTTAACTTCCAATCCTTCTCAATAGCCTCTCTCTGGAATTTGGAGGAAGGGACCAAACCTTAGATGTGGAATCCTAAAGCCCAGGCTCCCATGTGGCTGTGAGATGGGCGATACATTTTTCTTACTAAAATAGCCATGACATCTGGCCCTTGGGGCCTGATGGAGGTACAACCATGATAAGCCTTGAGCTCCCTTGGGGGCAGCCATCAGGATCTTGTTGGAAGAATGCACCTTTCTCTCCCTGACATCAGCTCAGTGCTGCTGGGAAGCAGTCGCAGGAGGGCAGGCTTGGTACCACCATCCAGACTCCATGCATGGGCATATCAGGAGTTGAGATGGGGTTCCACAGGTGTTGCTGAGCTCCTACAGTATGCCGGGCATGCACAGGGGTTGGGATACAGCCAACGTCCTGGCTGCATGGACCTTAAAGTCTAGAGGGAGAGAGAGACGTGCATAAACAAACGCATGTGCACCCTTCTGTCAGCTACTGACCAAATGGCACAAGGAAATATGGAGTAGAGTTTGGGGTTAGAGGATGGCAATGAGGGGACCTGGGGAGGTCTCCCTGCTCTCTGATCCAGAGCGCAGAACCCTGAATGAAGGGAGGGACAGACCACACCAAGATCGAGGAGAAGTGTGCTATTGGCACAGAGGGAAAAGCAAGGGTAAGAGCTCTGAGGTGGGAAGGAGCTGGGTGGCTTGCAGTCGGGGCAGGAGGGAGGTACAGCTAGTGAGTCTCGGGAGGCCAGATGCTGAAGAGGGGAGCAGGGGCTGCACCAGGGTAAGGCACGTGGGCGTCTTTTCTGTGGTGGGGGATCTGTTGGACAGTTTGGGGAAGGGAATGGTGTTGTGATAGGATTCCCATCTTTAGGGCATGGTTTGGGCTTTGCTATGGAAGCAAGGGATACCAGTTCGGAGGAGAGAGAGGATGGTAGCTTGAAGAACGTGACGATGGTGACAGGGGCCATGGCCACATGTGGGTGTGTTGTGAAAGTAGGACCCATAGCATTTGCTGAGGGACCGGATATGAGGCTCAGGAAGGCGAGGAAGCAAAGGATGATTCTTAGGTTTGGGGGTGAGTTGGGGTGAAACCCTAGAACAGGAGTGGAGCAGGGTGTGTGTGTGTGTGTGTGTGGAGCCCGGTTTAAGTCTTAGATCCTTTCAGACAGCCTGGTAGAGAAGAACGGGGTTTGGTCACAGGACTCTGGATTCAGGGAAGTGATCCCACCTGGAGAAAATGCATTGGCTTCCTCAGTAATAAGGGTAGTTGTGTTCGTGGAATTCTGGGGCCTTCTTGAGCGACTTCTCCCAGTGTGTGATGATCACGGTATTGATGGAAGGAGCGAGAGCTAAAATTCACCGTGTGTTTCTAAGTGCCAGGTACTAGGCTGAATGCTTTGTGTGCATCATCTCATTTAATCCTCACGCTTCCTTAACATCCCACTTTTACAGATGGAGGAGACTGAGGCACAGGGAGGTGGTGAGTCACGATTCATTTTCAGAGAAGGACATCACTGCGGGGTGTTGCACGTTTCCTGCTCTCCAGTGCCAGCCTAGGTTGCCTCCACACCCCCGTCTGTGACTGAGGGACCCCGCCTTCCTCAGCCTTTGCATTGTGCACATTCAACAGCTGAGTGCTGTGAAAAGGTAACGGTGCACGTGAACTCTGGGGACATATGTTCAAGTCCTGCCTCTGTGATTTCCTGGAAGCTTTGTTTGGGGAGAATTAACGTATAGAGTTCGGAGAATGTCTTCCAGGCAAAGTTTCTTCATGCCTGCTCTCTTTGCTTTGCTCTCCGTTCCTTCTCCAGTCACCAGCCAGCTTCTGCCATCCTAACCCCCTCCAGACAACTTTCATTTCCTGGCTGTGCCAGCCTGATTACTTCTAATTGTCTTTGACTGCTTCCAGCTGGGTCTCCTAGCTGGCATTCTGTGGGAGCACATAGACAGTCTCTCAGCCATATGGAAGGAGGAGATGGTGAAAGAGACGGGAAGGAGGCAGCTGGTACAAGTCAACTGAGAAAGCTTTTCACGGCTTTCCAGCCCACTGTAATTGGTAATGTTTTTTAAAGGGTTAATGCATCCAAATTAGAGAATGGCCCATCTTTGACAAGACAAACAATTATATTTGTTGACTACCCATAGGCAACCAACAATATAACTGCAAATGCTTTTAGAAAGTTATTAGAAGTGTCTTCCACCAGGACAGAGGGGATCTTGCTGTCTGGAGCAATGAAGCTCCACTTATTTGAGAATCCGTGAATGATTGCTTTCTTTTTTTTTCTAAATTTATTTTTTGGCTGCATTGGGTCTTCATTGCTGTGCATGGGCTGTCTCTAGTTGTGGCGAGTGGGGGCTACCTTTCATTGTGGTGCGTGGACTTCTTATTGCAGTGGCTTCTCTTGTTGAGGAGCATGGGCTCTAGGTGCATGGGCTTCAGTAGTTGTGGTGCGTGGGCTCAGTAATTGCAGCGTGTGGACTTTAGGGCGAGCAGGCTTCAGTAGTTGTGGCTCACGGGCTCTAGAGCACAGGCTCAGTAGTTATGGCACATGGGCTTAGTTGCTCCGTGGCATGTGGGATCTTCCTGGACCAGGGAACGAACCTGTGACCTCTGCATTGGCAGGCAGATTCTTAACCACTGCACCACCAGGGAAGTCCCACGATTTCTTTCATTTATGCAAATATATATTGAATGATGACCGTGTCTCAGGGCACTGTGCTAGGTGCTCTAGGGCAAATAGAATCTCTTGTTCTCAAAGAGTCTAAAAGAGAAGAAAGACATCCACAGGAAGTAATACAGAACTTAAGAAGAATGAGTGATATAGAGTAAGAGCGAAGGAGGAGTGATCAGCCTATTGCAGCTCACTGTTGTTAAACTGCAGTGCCCACATGCTCTGGAACCCACACGCCACAACTACAGAGCCCACACGCCCTGGAGCCTGTGCACCACAACTAGAGAATGGAAAACCCGCACACCACAACTAGAGGGAAGCCCACGCATCACAACGAAGAGCCAGCGCTGCAATGAAAGATCCTGCATGCCTCGACAAAGATCCCGCGTGCCGCAAGGAAGATCCTGCGTGCCGCAACTAAAAGACCCTACGCAGCCAAAAGAAAAAAGGTGCAGAGGTGAGGAAGCCCCATCCCAGATAAAGACAGCTGAAATGTAGTGCTCAGGGACATCCCACTGGAAGAGAAGACATAGTTTGGAATAATTAGTAGAGAATCTTCAATGCTGGACTAAGACTTTCAACAAGATGTTTCCCACGTATCTAACATGAGGGCATTCCATTGTTTCGTGTACTAATTTGTCCTACATAAAGGAATTTCTGGGCTTATTTCTTATTAAACAAGGCAATTTCAGAGGACAGGACCTATAGTTCAAAAACCACTTACTAAGCCCAGGAAGGGTAAGATTTGGACTTCTCTTTGGCATCCATCCCAGCTGATGGAATTAGCAGTGAACTTGAATCAAACCCAGGCATCAGGCTTGAAAAAGAATTAATGGGCCTGGATTTTCTCTCTTCTTCACCCCTTTCCTGACCTCCACCCCGAGAGGATAATTACAAGGAAAGAAAATCTCTGTTTCATTGTAAATATCTTCCACAATTTTTGTGCCTGAATTGGCTAGCTTTTTTTTTTTTTAGGCCATAAAGGTAATTTGATGAACTGTCTCTGACATTTGCCTTACTCTATAATAAAGTAATTTCTAAATTTTCATACAGAGCTAATTATCCTAAAATTTAAAGAAATTCATACTCTATTAACGCATAGGCTACTAACTGGGGAAACTCTAAAACCTTTTCAGAAAGAAGATGCAGAATGGTTTTGATCCCAAAGTGAGCTCCATATTCCTCGTCCATCAGATCTTTGTTGAACATTCACTCAGTGCTGGTCATATAGCCCCCTTCTCCCGCCAGGTTACTGTCATAAATTTTTTTTTTTTTTTTTTTTTGCGGTACGCGGGCCTCTCACTGTTGTGGCCTCTCCTGTTGCGGACCACAGGCTCCGGACGCGCAGGCTCAGTGGCCATGGCTCACGGGCTTAGTTGCTCCGTGGCATGTGGGATCTTCCCGGACCAGAGCACAAAGCCGTGTCCCCTGCATTGGCAGGCGGACTCTCAACTACTGTGCCACCAGGGAAGCCCTGTCCTAAAATTTGATTATTGAATCGGAGACATTATAGCGATTGGATTGGCCTTGTGGAAATTATGGGGGTGGGGTGGTAGCAATGAAATCCCTTAAGCACAGCAAGAAAAACACTTGAAAGTGTATTTTTAATATTGAGAAGAGGGAACAATGAGGAGACTGATGGAAAACAACCCCAGTCATAACACGTGAGTAGTCGATCATAGCATATTTAAAATTAGATCTACTTAAAACAGGCGTTTCTCTGGGTCACTTTTCACGTGGGTCAGAAAACCCCCAAGACACTGGATTAACGACTGCTGTGCACCACCTCCTCTTCCCGCCCCGCCCCTATCTCAGAGCACTGACGTGGATCATGCCATAGTTGTTTACAGCGGAGTCAGTAGTGAAAGGAACTTGAAGACCGAATCCTGCCTTTGAACCCTGATGCTGTAATGTCAGGGGTTAAGTATGCTTGAAACGCTGGTGCCTTTTATCTGGCTGCTCAACAGGTAGCATTTTGTAAATGCCTCCCCCTTCTCCCCCCACCCTTCCTCCCCCCTCCCTGCCACGAGATTCCTCATTTTTGGTTTGAGAAGACGCTGGGTATCCTGGAGAAGATCAGAGTCGTCAGGCCAGCTGCACTTGTTTACGAGGGATAAGCAGAGTCAGGGCGCGCACAGAACAAAAGCCTCCAGGAGCAGGGAGCGCTGGTCCATCGCATCCTGCAATCACCGGCATCATTTCAATGGAAAGCAGAGAAGGTGTAAACGTACGAGCAGAGGCAGCAAATGCCCTGGTTCCTACGTTGCTGCTGCTACTAGTATTGTTGCGGCTGCTCCTCCTCCAACACAGCGTTCCCGTCTGGTGTGAGCCCGGGCAGACGCCCCGCCACCTCTCCATCCTTCCTTCCACCCATCCATCTATCCACCCATTCAGGGTCCAGAGGGTCCTACTATGTGCCACGCCCGGGGCTGCACACCGGGCACCTAACCCACAGTCCACCGGGTTCGAGAGAGCCTCCCTCCCTTCCTCCTGCCCGGGGTGGGTGCAGCTGGTAGTGGGGGATTTCTTCGCCGAAAGGTCCAGAAAGCCCGAGCCCCGAATCTACGCGAGAGGCGCAGCCGGAGGCGGCCCGACTTGGGCGGCCCGGGAGCGCGCGTCTCCGAGGCAGCGCGAGGTCCCCCTGTCCGGCGCTCAGGTGGCTTCGCCGCCCACTCCGCTGCTCCCCTCCCAGGGCCCTCCCCTCTCCGGCGAGGGTCGAGTTTGGCTGTTGCGCGCGGGGAAGGAGGGGCTACGAGGGATTTGAAAGTGTACAGGCTGCAGAGTGGAGCTCGCATCTGTTCCCGCCGCCCGCGACCGGATTAAATTTCTGCAAATTCAAACTGAATGGGGCTTTCTTCTGCAGCCTTCCAGAGGGCGCCTGCAGCCCGCCGCGCGCTGCTCTCGGGCGGGAGCGGCCGCCCGGCGCGCAGCTAGGAGCCAGCGAGCCGGACACGAGCCCGAGCGGGCCAGCCCGCGGCGGCTAGGGCGGAGGCTGCCGAGGCGCCCGGGCTCCGGGACCAGGCACCCCGGCTCCGGGACCGGGCACCGGACCGCCCCGCCCCCGCCCGCCCCTCCGCAGCCGGCTTGTTCCCCGCGCACCCGAGCGGGGCGACTGTCACTAGCCGCCCGGAGGGGACCCCGGGCAGGGTCTCGGGGTCCCGAAAGGGGCCCGGGCGACCCTCCGAGGAAGAACTTCTTGTGGGCGGGTCCCCGGTACCCTGTGGCCTGGGCGACCGCTATTGTCTGCGCGCGGCGCTCGGCGGCGGCCCGGGGCGCGGGAGCCGCGGGCCGGGCGGGGCCGGGCCCGGGGTGGCGGCGGGAGGAGCCGGGGGAGTCGCGTGGGCCGGACTAGGAGGAGGAGCCGCGCCCGTGGGAGCAGAGCCGGAGCGGCGCGGGCAGCGGGCAAGCGTGATGCCGGCGGCGGCGGGGGACGGGCTCCTGGGCGAGCCGGCGGCGCCCGGGGGCGGCGGCGGCGCAGAGGACGCCGCCAGGCCGGCGGCGGCCTGCGAGGGAAGTTTCCTGCCGGCCTGGGTGAGCGGCGTGCCCCGCGAGCGGCTCCGCGACTTCCAGCACCACAAGCGCGTGGGCAACTACCTCATAGGCAGCAGGAAGCTGGGCGAGGGCTCCTTCGCCAAGGTGCGCGAGGGGCTGCACGTGCTGACCGGAGAGAAGGTGAGCCGCCCGGGGCGCCGGCCCCTGGCCTTCGGGTTGGGGGATCGTGGCGGCAGGGGCGTCGGGGACCCTGCGGAGAGCCCTGCGCTGCGAGTCTGGCTGCGGAGCCCCGGACGGGCGCCTCCAGCTCCGTCGGCTTTTCCTCTCGGGTTGAAAGCGGGGTCGAGCCAGACGCGCGCGCAGACCCTCGCAGCCGGGATACCGGCCTTTCCCGAGGGGCGATATGGGGTCACTTTCCCCGGGGGGCGACTGGTTTCCCCGCGAAGCCGCCTGCAGTCTTTTTTGCTCCTCGAAGGGCGCCGCCTGGCGGACACCAGCGCGGGGGTGGGGTGGGCTGGGGTCTGGGGGACTCTGATCTCCGGGCCGGTAGGGGCGGCAGATCAGTGGAGAGGCTGGAGCCAGGAATGGAGTGCGTGGGCCCTTACGCTGAGGGTGGGAGAGCCGATTAGCCAGCCCTTGGGGGAACTTAGAGTCTGATCCGCACCCTGGGCTCTGGGTAGGAGGTGGGGGAAGGACGAGAGCCCAGGGACGTACCCGCTTGTGGGCTGCGGCAGCTAGGGGAAGTTTTGCGTGCTCACGGGAGGGTTTTCACGCGCCGCCCCTCCCTCCACCCACCCTTCCCACCCCTGCATCCCCATATCACCCCCTCCTTCCCTCCTCACTCCAGCCGCTGGGGTGGGAGCTGCAGTAAGGATCCTGCTCTGGCAGATACAGAACTACACACCGCTCTCCCCAGATTTCAGAGGTTGGGGGAGGCCTTCTTATCTTCCTAGAAGAGGGGAAAGCGAAGGAGGAACCCCAGACACCTGCAAGGGCACCCCTTCCAGCCTTGTGAGACGTTAGCAGTGTGTGAACCCTTGCCAGGCAAGCCTCAGCTCGACCTAAGTTGTAACTTAGATCTGTGAGAAGAAACCCATAATATGATGACTTACTTCTGAGGTGAGGCTCCAGCCGGGAGGCTGCCCCAGCCTGGGAGTTACCCTAAGCTTGGGGCTACTTCAGGCTGGGGTTGCCTCAAGCTCATGATCATCTGAGACTCAAGACTCCCCCCAGGCTGGGGCTTGCTCAGCACAGGTGGGGTAGTAGCGCCTTTTTGTGGCCCATTCACCAGGGAGGCATCAGCAGTGTGGGTGGGGGTGGGAAGCTCCAGGCTTCCTACCTGCCCTTCCACCCTCTGCCCTGGGATCCTCTGTCCGGCCTGGAAGTTCCTGGGAATGCACTGCTGTGTGGCCTCTGATTACTGGGCGAGCTGCCCTGCCCTCCAGTCCCAAGCCTCACCTGTCTTTCGTCTTCCTCCTCAGTTCCCCAGTGTGTCCTGGAGCCCCTTGCATCTGAGTGCAGGTCTCCATCACCCTTGTCATTTGTCCTTTTCCTACAGCCGCTCTGGGTGGGGTGCCCTTTGTTTTGGGTAAGTGAGGTTAGAGTGAGCGGTTCTAAAAGTGCCTCTTGCTTGAATTTCCATACAAAATGGGAGTGTTCAGGATGAACTCACTGAATTGAGTAACTCTTCAAAGAAGAAAAAGAAGAACAAAAACAAAACCAAAAAACTCCAAACCTCATTCTAGTCCAAAGGGAGCGCGGCACCGTTTACTCCTGGGTTCGCAGTGGGCTGGGAACTTACACATCCGGTCATGGCACGGGGATGCCCGAGGCCCCAGCTTGCTAACTACAGTGCGCTCACTTCTCCGTGCCCGGCACGCGGGGGTAGAACTTTATTTTGATTCGAAATGTATAGGATTCAGTCTAGTTGTGTGTGTTTCCTCTTGAAACTTAGCAAAAAGAGACGGGGCGTTATGCTGACAGCAGAATGGGCAACGTTAGGAGCACGCTCGCTTCCCCTGCCCTGCGGCTCAGCTGCTTCGGGCTGCCTTCCCCTTTCCCCGTCCGTGCTGTGGGTCGGTGGGTCCGGCTCCTCTCCGCTGCATTTTTGCTTCTTAACATCAGGCTGTTCATTTTGGCTGAACTTCCCGAGGATGCACTCAGAGCTCAGTCCCTAGCCGGATGCTTGGGTTCTGGAGCTCCGTGCTGGGCCCGAAGGCACACTGGAATGTGGGGAATCCCTGCCCGGATGGGGTCCAGTGAGGATTCCCCCTCACCCTTGGGTGCTCACGCCCCGTTTATCTCATCTTGTCTTTCTTAAATGATGCATCTCACTTCCTCTCCACAAGGGGAGGAACAATTAATTGGGCGTAAAATTATTGTGCTGGACTAACTGATTGGATCTAGTTAAGGAGTGTGGTTCTTAGAGTGGAGAAGGAGGTTGAGAGATTTTTCCGAGGTGCCCTACTTCAGCCCTGAGAATCCGTGCTCAGGGAATGCAGGCATCGTGAGATATCTGGATTTTAGTTCACTTGATGGCCAGCTTGAAAGAAACAATGGGTGTCATTCATAGCTTTTTATCTCCCAGATCCAACACCTTCATGCTTAACTAAAAGATTTGGTTTTGGGCAGATCGTAGAGATTAAAGTGTGTGTGTGTGTGTGTGTGTGTGTGTGTGTGTGTGTGTGTGTGTGTGTGTGTACATGATTCTGCCTGGGAAATATTGCTGAGTTCATGAGTCCCCAGCCCCACTCATGTGCTGGGTCATATCTTACTAAGGCCAAAACAAGGGTGAAGTCAACCTCACACTATTTGCAGCCTCCAGGTCTCTTTACAAGGTGACCTATTAAGAGGGTTTTCGCCCAGAGAGGGGTTCCTCCTGTGAGCCAAGCAAGGAGAGACCTCGAGGCGACAGGACCCAGAGGAAGGGAGACGAAGTGTCCCCAGAGTGGGTGATGTGAGTGTTCCAGAAGGGCCTCTCCCTTCAATAATTCCCCCTTTGCAGAGGTGCATACTTTCTGGAGAAAGCACTTCACTTTTCTCTATTCCTTTTTTTTGGAAAGGACACGGACCACCGCGGGAGGGGAATTAAGTCATGAAGGCTGCCCTAAGAAATAGATGTGTCCCCCCCACACCATCCCCTGAGTGGAAGGATCCAGGGCAGCCTGTCCTGAGGAATCAGTTCATGAAAAATCTGCAAAGGGGGATGGAGAAAGGGAAGAAGGGGAGGTGCCCCCACACCTGCAGTTGCAGTCTCAAAACTGTGCACGTTGTGTTGGGTGATTTATGCCAACATCCAGAATATTGCTGGCTTAGGGGGTGTGTGTGTGTGTGTTGTGTTTTGACTTGGCGCACGTTTCCCAAAAGCTTTGGGTGCCATCCTACATGGCTCGCTGAGAACTACTGTCCGAGTTTGTCTGACAAACGGAGCCGCTTTTTCCTGACTTTCATTCAGGCTTCAATCCTTTCTTATCAAGAGGCTCCTTTTCCCACCACTGCCTGCAGGACAGAATTTTTTTTTTTTTTTTTTTTTTTTTTTTTTGGCCAGCCTCTCTCCGAAGTTGTTTGAAAGTCATTTGAATCTAGTGCCCTTTTATCGCTTGAAAAGAAAGGATGGCTTTGGGCAAGACCTAATTTTGTCCTCCTGTAGCTTTGAGTTGCTGCCATCCTCTGTTAACGCGGCTTTGAAAATAAATCATTCACTCGATCATGTGAAACTCTTAACCCCCACGTTCTCAGTCTGTCTTTGACTAAGTTGATGATTAGACAAGGAAAAATGATCACAAAATCAGACTTTGAAAAAAAGGATTCTCAGTGGCTTTGAGACAAAGAGCAAAGTTGCTGTGCAGGAGTATTGTGATAACTTTGAAATATGCAGGAAGAGGTGTGCTTGCGGCCTCTGTATTGGTCCCCAATACCTATGAAATGTATAGTCTCTGGCACTTGATAGGTTATTCATTTTAAAAATGAAAGAATATAGTTGCAGAGGCTTAGAGAGAAGAGCATAGGGGTATCTCAAGTATAGAGCAGGTTCCACAGGCAGGCAAAGCTGCAAAAATGGGAGAATAGTTGAGGCCATAATTACTTTTTTGTGTGATTAAGTCTCTCGGAGAGACAAAGTTAGGTACAGAAAATGATTGGTTAAGATGTTTAACTACCTTGTTCTAACCCTTGGTTTAAAAAAAAAGCCTGTTTATCACTTTCAATTGGAGCTATTTTGGGGCTAAAAATAAGGGTTGCCTGCTTAGTAAGTTGCCAATAATTATGCTTCAAGCGTGACAGCACCAGATACCTGGAGTGAAGGAGTTACTAAAAATACAATTTACTATGTTTTTTGGAGCAGGAAATATGACTAATTTTAGAGGTGGCCTTTTGGCAGATCTGTTTTTAGCAAGTATTTCGGAAACAAACAGGTGCTAAATCCTGTATTTTTTTTTTTAAAGTGCTAGAAATTTAGGGGTAATAGCTCTGGGGCTCAAGAAATGCCTAGGGAACTGGAAATTCCTATTAGTCCCCAGCAGGGATTTCTTGGCAAGCGAAAGGCATTGGGCAAAAGCACCTGCTCAGTGTGTCGCTTGTGATAAGGCAGTGCCTATAATTTCCGAGATTGCATGCTGCAGTTCACAGGCACAATCTTTTTGAGCTTCCTGCCCTGCCTCATCTTTTTGAAGTCCTTGTGAATGATGGAAATTGGCACTTTGGGCTCACTTCTCAGTGTTCATTGATACGCAGGTCCCATGGACTTCAAAGGGCGCTTTGAGTCAGCACAACAGTGCTGAATAGTGCCCACGAAGAGGACACAGCCTGACATTTTCTCTGCGGGTGTGGAGTCACCGGCACAGGCTGGGCTCAACGACAGCGGTCCGCACGCTGGTGGCTGTTCCAGTGCCGCGTGGCAATCATCCATCCCAGGGGTTAACTTTTCCAGGAGGTGTGGGGAGTGGCAGCCGTGTCTGCCCAGAGAGAGGAGCAGACTGGGTGTCCTGCAGGAAGGTGGTTTGGACACCAAGTATCGTTTACCTCGGGATGTACGCCCCATCTCGATTATTCATGGTAATCCAGCGACCTGCTCTCTTGGTTAATTGAAACCCGTAGATAATCCCCAAGCCTTACTTTTAGCAAACTGGTGAAACCTCTTCCTCTGCTCAGCCTGGGCCGTGGCCACTTTCAAGTGCTGACCT